TATTCCAACGACACTTAGTGTATGCACTCATTCTCATGTTTCAGCTGTTCATGCATTCTATCCTTTCGGTAAATTACGGCCAAACGCACGAATAGGCACGTATTTTCACCTAATTTATGATACTTCCCCTCCTGCTGCTACATATTATGCTACAGTCATTCCACTTAGGGGTAATACATAGTTAATGTATCTGAATGTTAGAACTTATATTGCCTGTAATTTTTCCACAGGTCCACATTTAGGATTACCTACTTAAGGATTATAAATTTGTGATAACTGACATTTGTGTTAAACTGTGGTTGCTGTCTAGGTGGGTTGATATTTGATTTAGGTTTAAGCTTTGGGCCAAATGTCACGTTAATTTAGTTTACACATGTGAATTTACTCTTTTAGGTTCTAGAACTTCTGACGCTAATTTACAAACACTAGGAAATCATCATCAACCTCGGTTTATTTACTACTCTCGGCATAATCGTCTGGTAGGTTCATTTGATTTCGGGCCCACGATCTGGCTATCTTATAACATAAGCACAGACGCTTATATGTTGATTTTCATGTCCATAGGTCGCACCACTATATTATTACAACCACTGCTTATTTCTACATTAACAATCGTCCTGTCTCACATATCAGGTACTATGCCAGATCCCAGTAGTTTATATTTAGAGTGGTACTGGTCCTAGGTTACGTGGCCCAATTAGGAATATATTTTCTGGTCTTAATCCATAGGCTAGTGGTCCCGCGAGGCCAACACCCTCATCCTCACACTCGGAAGAATACGTCCCTCGGGCCAAATCATAGCTAGCCGTCTCGCATAGTTGCATAGAGAGGGCCTCACCTATCACTCCCATTCTATCTTATGCTTTAAATTGCCACCGAGAGGCCAACACCCCGCCACAACGGTCGGTGGCCTCATACTTTCCCCTCGGGCCCAAGCATAGGTAGTGCCTCTCAAGCCGCTTGGCAATTAGTAGGGACTCATCTGTCACTATCACGAAGTATAATTGTTTCGCCACTTGGTATTTAGCTAGCCTTAACAGTACCCAATTAATTACAGAGTGATTGATTTAAGCTACCTTATATTTTTCAGTTATGTCAAATACTCCTGATATCCCTGAGGAACTTTCGCTACCCT